TTCTACTGTCACGGGACTGCAAAGTTTCCGTCAATAAAACTGCATCAATTAGAACGGAACCTTAAAGGAACAGCTCACCTAAATAAACTCAACTTCATGTCATTTCAAACCTGAATGAATTTCTCTCAAAAAGATGAATTTTAAAAGGAAAAAACTGAAATTGCATGAGGAATGAAGCTGTCAATCTTTAAAATGACAAGTAAACCTCACTAGCTGTCTCATAAAAGAGGTCTTTATGACTCAGACAACTATATCCCCAAGTCTTCTGAAGGCATACAGTAGCTTTATGTGAGGAACAGACCCAAATTTAAGTTGTCATTCACAGAAAAAATGAGAGAAATACCGATGTCTGATTTGTGAATGAATCATTATTTTGCGTCAGATATTTTCAATGAATCAGGTAATCCAGTTCAAGAAAACAGACTGATTGTGCATTTTGGTGCATTAGAAAAAACTCAAATTCAAAACTTACATAGAAATCCAAGCAAATATAAACAGAATTATTATATGCTAAGCTAAAGCTAGGCTAAATCTTGTGATCCAATTCACATAATATCCCTTTGATAAATAATGATGTGTCCCAGATTAAAGTACATAAAGAACTGCAGAAGAACCCAAGACCAAAGCTGCCACAGCTTTGTTTTTCACCTAGTTGCAATTACTATATGTGATTTTGAACGCAGCCATTAAATCAGACTGGTTCAGTTCTTGAGTTCAACTCACTGACTCAGATTTCAGTCACACAAAGCTATCGAATGGCTTTAGAAGACTTGGAATATAACGCATAAGTCACATGGTTCAGTTTTATGATGCTTTTTGTCATTTTGGAGCTTGACTTCATGCACTTCAATGGCCAGGATATTCTCAAAAATTACACATTTTGAAAGACATACAGGTTTGAAACGACATGAGGGAAAGTAAATTATGACAAAATTTCATATTTGGGAGCGCTGTTCCTTTGAACACCAATTGAGAGCTCAGCATGATGCACTGCTGATAACCACAAACCTTTCCATTTGGAGATATGAGCAAATTGTTGCTCTTTCAACATCGACTGTTATCATAATTACAGAGAGAATATCAGAGAACGCTCAGTACTCTTTTAGTACGGCTGTTCAGCTTGCATCCAATGAGCAGAATAGCTACATGGTGTGCGAATGCGGGGGAGGAAGGTCGTAATTGGCCTGTGAATAGATTTGTCATTAAAAGGCTCGGTAGGGGAGACCCCACTCATGGTCTTCCTGTGACACATCTGCCTGATTAAAGAGGTCAAGAAGCCAGAAATACGATGCACATTGTCAATTTTTACTGTCCTCACCCCTTTCTGCGATGTTACATAATAAGGGTTAAAAATATTCTCTACACAAATAATTTTGTTCTTTGTTAAGACCAGTTGGTGTTTTTTCCTAAAAGTAGTGCTAATCAAAGATATTGATTCTGTATTAATGAAAGACTGATTGATCACTGCCAGATTGATTATAAGTCTAATTATATCATTTGGATAGTGTAAATTAATAGGCCATGTAAAAGAAAATCAGCATTTATGGCATGTCTGTTGGTTTCATGTAATGCATTCTCAAGGGAAATGTGACACCTTTACCACAAAGGTCCGATATGTATATAGCCATAGCTATTCATGAATGTTAGAATATCCCTCTGTTCCTGTTGAGATTGTCCTACATATGATGTGTCCCATGCAGAGACCTCAGTAATGTATGCAAATAGTAATTAACTCATGTTTTCCTTTAAATTCTTATCATGTGAAAAGCCATTGCATTCATTCAATTTTTTTTTATATTCTGGGGTCTATATGTAACATTTTAAGCATGTTGCCAAGTTAATTTTTTTCTACCATTCAAAACTTTTTTTTTAAAGAAATAAAATAAAATGCTAGAACAATAGAACAATAGAATGATGGATAGATTCGCTGCCGTGGCTCAAATGAGCCACAATTTATTGGAGTATTTTGAAGGATTATGTCGTCTCGCCGTCAACACACTGTTTGACGACAAGACCCTGAAATCGTTGCTCTGGATCGGGGCGAATTACCATCATCCCATAGACCTCCCAGACACCACAGGTCTTGAATGGAAGAACTTGAATGCAACTCCACCTTGGCCCTCCGGAACCCACGGTGTCACCCTGGCTCTTCGGCTCTCCATCTCCACCCTGGGCCCCTCCTCCATCAGCCTCATCTCCGTCAGTCTGCCCACTAGTGTCGTCAGCCTTACCTCCACCATGGCTCATCTCTCCATCGACTCTGCCGTGGGCCTCAGTCTTGGACTTTGGAGTACCACCTGGCTCTTCCAGCTACTGGCTTCTCCCTGGCTCCTCCCACCACCTACACCACCTTGGTTGCTCCGGTCATCACCTCTCCTGGGTTCCTGTCATCCACCTTCCTCACATCCTCCACCTCAGCCTCCTTCCTCGTTGGGACTGTTGGTGCGAGGTCGCGCCTTTCTGGAAGGGAGTGTACTGTCACAGTTAGGTTGAGTTTGAGTTTGATTTCTGTCTTTGCTTTCTCCCTGCCTGTCACTTTCGTTATTTGTTACCTTGGTTACTGATTTGATTAGTCATTCCGTTTAGCTGTGTCCTTATTAGTTCGCTTTGTTCCATGTATTTAAGTGCTTGTTGTTCATTTGAGTTTTGTCTAGTCTCGTTAATGCTACCCTGTGTTTGTATTACCTATGTGTTGGATTAAAGGCTTTTTGGAACCTTTCTCTTCTTCTTTGTGCATTTGTACACAGCGTACCAGATAGATAGAATAGATATAGAATGACAGAATGATAGGTAGAAAGAACAAACAATGGAACAATAGATAGATTTTGGAGTGATCTGTTCCTTTAAGATCTGTAAGGATTGACTTTCCTGCCTTTTAAACAGACTCTGTATTCTATTTTTTCCTGGTCTTTTTTCTTCTATCCTTTCATTCCTCTTTGGGTCGAGTCAAGATTCCTCAAACATCCTCTCAGAATATCTTTTTGTTTCTGACTTTTCTCTTTCTCCCACTCTTACAGTCTTCCAGGCTCAGCATCGCTCAGTGCCCAGCAGACCTGGGAGAGAATAAAAGATTGGGTCTCTGCTTTCTCTTTTTCTGTATCCTGGAGGAGAAATCTGACAGAGCAAAGGAATGCCTGGAAAGAGAGAGAGGGAGTGTGGGGGTGGGGGTTAACAGGCTAAATGGACTAGCGAAGCACATTAGAGCTAATGGATGAAGCCTGTGGGGTCAGATCATTCAGTACAGCTCCTGGAACCCCCCTACATGTGTGCTAAAGCACACTGGTCCAGAGACCTGGGCTGAATCCCAATCCACTTGCTTATACTAAGCACTACAAGTATGCCCTTGTGAAAAAGAAGTACACTTTAGCATACTTTTCAAAAGAGTACTTATTACAAGGAACAATTTACTTTAAAAAATATAAATACTTATGTGCAGACTGCAAATTATGGTTTCAGCAGTTTTAATGTAGAACAGTTTCTGTTTTTCTTTGCTTAGATTTCTGTCAGCTTTGAATTTATCCACCTTTGAGTTTGATCTAATGTCTTCTCAGAGCAATACTTGACATGTTTCATACCAATTAAAATACTTTTTTGACTCAATCCAGGTAACCTTGTTTTCACTTACTACACTGTCCACCAGACGAATGATCTTGCTGCTCCTGAAAAGAAGTTTAAAGGGGTCATATGATGCTGCTAAAAAGAACATTATGTTGTGTATTTGGTGTAATGAAATGTGTTTATGCGGTTTAAGTTTCAAAAGAGAAAGGAAAAATTGAAATCGCATAATATGACCCCTGAGAAGCTAAATTGTGTTCCAGAGGTGAGCCACCTTTGCAAGCAACATGTTAATATTTCATAGAAAAACCTGGTGGATGGATGCCTTCATAGGAAATAGCAAAGTAAAAGCAGAAAGAATATAAAGTAGGAGATAATGTGGCAAACACATTCTGTTTGGAGTCATTTTAGCGCTTGAAAAACATCAGTTTAACATTTCATGATCTATCTATCTATCTATCTATCTATCTATCTATCTATCGATCGATCTATCTATCTATGTGTCTGTCTGTTTTTCTGTCTGAGTCTTATTTCACATGTTTGGCCCTCTGCAGATTGCTGAGATTTTTCACTTCAGTGATCAGTGCATTCTATGCTGGGGGGCTGCAAAGAATTCTGGCGCATCTGGATTGTGGGTTTTCGGGTATTTTTGTGCACATTTGTATATGTGTTTGTGTGTACAAAACCAATGTCCATGGGGTAAAACTTTTTCCTAATCCTCCAGAAATCTGGAATCAACTGCAGATTCATTTCACAGCTGAGAGCATGGTCTGGATTACCGCCCAACTGACGGGATGACAATGATGGCAATACAATCAATGTTCATCTACCTCATGCACAGAGCTGATATGACACTTATTCTGAACATATATTCACAACATATTAGTCATTTACTTGTTTAAATGTTGCACTTTTTATGGTTTCAATCAATATATTGTGTGAAAATCTCAATAAATATAAATTGTCTTGACTTCCTCTAGGGGAGTGTTCACATTGCAGTTTGGGCATGACCAGATGATGCACTGCTTTTTTGTGCAGCATATTATTTAGAAATATTATATAATCATTGGTGACACTACAGAGAGATTATAGATACGTCAAACAGGCTTGAATAGCCCTTCATTATAGTCTAGAGGTTAAATGCTTCCTACACAAATAACCATTGTAAGGGTCACTTGGGCTGCTTTAGCTCTCCTATAATGTGTATGCTGAGTGAGTGTTATTTTGGATGCAGAGCATGTGTGAAAGTCAGGACCTCTTTACAATCTCTTTACAAAGTTGCTGCAACAATACTTTTTTGAATGAAACCAAAAATATATATAGTTATTTTGATTTTGAGAATGATTTGTTCGTTTGTTTTAAGGTAGGCCTAATTTGTTTATTTTTAGATGAAATTTTAGATTTCTGTTACTTGAAAAAAAAATCATGCACACAGATGTCATATTTAAAATGTAAAATCTTTTATTTATATTCCAAAATAGAAAGGGAAAATATAGAAAAATATTTCCATTCAATGGCTCAGGAAACACAGTAACTTTATACAATGTAGACAGAATACAAACTCAGAAAGTGATGAAAATGAGAAATTATTTAGCTTAAAATCTCTTGTAGACCATGTAGGGATAGGGTTCACATTTCAAAAATAGCTCATATCTTGTAAAGCTTATTCCTATGACAGTAGATTCACACTTGACCTGCTCCACTAGAGTACACATGTAATAAACCAGAGAATGAGTATTTACTATTAAGGTTAAGTAATATCAGCTATCTGTTCCAGGATCAGAATCATTCATGCATGTATTGTGAGAGCAGGCTGGACCTGCATAATCTGTGATGGTGTCATTTACTGTTGTCTCTGCTTCTTTCCTGTAAGAAAAGAGAGAAAATAATGTTATGTTATGTTATGTTATGTTATGTTATGTTATGTTATGTTATGTTATGTTATGTTATGTTATGTTATGTTATGCTATGCTATGCTATGTTATGCTATGTTATGTTAGGTTGTTGTTGTTTTTATGCTATGTCAAGATGTTATTTTTATGTTATGTTTTATGTTTGTGGGGGCTTTTTATTATGTTCTAAATGTTGTTAAATTGTTCTAACTGTTATGTTCAGAATGTCATTCTGTGTTCTAAATGTTAAATTTTTGTTGTGTTTTATACTATGGTATTGTGCTGTTGTTACATTACATTGTCTTATAAATGTTATATTCTAAATGTTATGTTGTTGTAATTGTTAAATTATGTTGCTGTGTTGTGTTGTAAATGTTATATTAGGTTTTATGTAATGTTATGTTATACTAAATGTTGTTGATACATTGTTATGAGTTCTAAATGGTATGTTGTGTTCTAAACACTATATTATTTTTATTGGTATACTATGTTACATTGTAAATGTTATGTTACATTGGTGTTGTTCTAAATGTTGTGTTATGTTTTATATTATTTTTCTAAATGTTACTGTGACATTATTATGTGTTTTAAATTCTGTTGTCTTAAATGTTATATTATTTTTGTTGTGTTATATTATCTTGTAAATGTTGTTACATTATCTCTTCTAAATGTTATGTTCTCAATGTTATGTTGTGTTTATATGATGTTGCTAGGTGGTGTGTCCTAAATGCTATATAATGTTATCTTATGTTGTGCAAACAGAACTTAAAAGAATGCATGTACATTTATATTATTTAAGTACTAAGACTTGATGATGAAATACCCACAAACACGTACCTCTATGTTTTCTGGGGGTTTTTACAGGTCCTGCTAGTATGTAGTCGATCAGTTTGCTCACCCAGTTATTCTCGCTTGGAAATGGTGCGCAGAGCTTCAAGCCCTTCTTTGTGACAAATCTGTGGAAATTCATTCATATTTAAATATGCAAAGTCAAATACACCTTGAAGTCTGTAGAGGCATTTTGAAATGCATGTAATGCGACTTACATAGTGGCAGGAATTCTGCAGACTCCATCACTGGTCTGAATGTTGAAAGACGTCACCACCTTCTGTGGGATGCGCCGGTCGCTGGTGGTTAAACAACAATCCGCTGCCACATCGTTCTGAGCTGTGATAGTTAAACAGTGCACAGAATGTTAACCATTAGCAACATCAACAGTCTCACCCACTAAAAAATCATTTTAAAAGTAGGCAGATTATCTATAGAAAGTTTAGAATTGTAAAAGGTGTTATTTAAGAATATTGTAAACAAATGGGAAAAACATTACACACACACAAAAAAATCTAAACTGATTAATTTAAACATCTTGCAGAAGGCTATTGTTAAATAATTATACACTTTGACTCACCTGTTGTACAGCTCCATAGACTGACGCTCAATATAAGCAGAGCGCCTGCCCATAATGTCAGAGAGTTCATTTTGTCCCTCTATATGTGTTTGTTCACCTGTGCTCAGTAGATATATGCCTCACCGCAGCTTGCACACCCTTTATATGCTACTTCACAAACTTTCACTTTCTTTATGCTTAAAGGCAACCCTTTCCTGTAAATCCATCCTTATTAAAAGAGCCCTTTCACCTTCTTTTGTTAACTGGAAATGGTGGCACCTCCCAAGAGATCCTTCATCTGAACTGGAGGGAAAGTTTCAACATGTTTTCTGGGCTTTTGAAATGTGCTTATCAGTGTCACTGCCTCATGAGAAACAAATGCGGTGAAAGTAAATTCGTTTTAGTGGATGTCACTCATAGCTGGAGGGAACAGGTTGCACATACGTAGCTTTGGGACAAATTAGCTCTGCATTGAATGCGTAATTGCTCAAGTGTCCACACTGATTTGTGAGTGCAAATACTTTAAAATTAAATTAACTTATAAAATAAAATAAAACATTTTCAGCACTGAGGTTTCCAACTGCTCTTATCTGCATATACATATCTGGCCAATCAATGTCTGCAGTATCTGGTTCAGTATCTGAACACGCTTTACCTATGGATATCTGATGTGGTATTGTACCAATTATAGTCATAATGGTTGTGATAATGATCATTTCATGACTCTTTCATCTAATATATTAACTCTTATGAACATATTTCAACATATTTAAATATCAAAGCTGGCAAATTCTCACCAAACCACAGGTTGTTTGATTGACAGCACTACTAATTTGCGGATTTGTGTGTTTTTTGAGTGTAACCCTCAATGAACATGTACCTGCTGTTGCCGACAGGTAAGCAATGATTGCTGTTGGAAGATTATTATGTAACTTGTTTAGTATTTTTTAATAGCATTGCTGACTACCTATATGTTTATGCTACTGTATGAATTACCATTCATTTACAGATGAAGTGGTCTGTATACAGATTTTTATTCTATTTCTCTGCTGTAAAACTGTTTTATACCAGCAATAAATAAATAAATACATATTTTCTGTGAATGTATAACCTGTTCAGATCAGCTGAGTTGTACAGAGAAATGGCCTGTGTTTTGGCAATACTGGTAGTGTAATGTTTCAGGCATGCATCTACATGTGGATGCTAAATATATGCATGCAATACAGCCAGCAACGTGTCTGAAGGGCTCGGACATGTGTTAAGCAGAAGAAAAAAAACCGGCCCATATCCTGAAATCCTGCTCAATTAATACTTCCTCAAGGGCTGTAGCCTCCACACACACACAGCCAGGTCTTCATTCTGTGCTGTGATCTCCTGAGCCCTAATGAAGCATGAAGAGATGAACAGACGACTTTGCTCCTCTACTTGATTTCAAGCAGTTCGAATTCTAACTACAGCTGCATTCAGTTTTCAGTCATTACTTCAAGGTTGTCAGGGAATGAGCCACATGCCGTGTCACTTCCTATATGATGGCTCACTTCCACTTGGGCCACAGTAACTGCAGCAGGTCCAGAAGTAATCAAGCTGCTTTGTCAGATAAGGATGTGATGAGAAAATTACAGACAATCAGGACTAATTGAAGGCTAGTCAAAAGTTCTCAATGAACATCTTTTGCTCATGGTACAGCACCACTATTGAAGGTTTTTTAAAATTGAAATTAAATTAATGATATTTTCAGTGTCTTAAAAATTATATATAAAATTATATGTTTAAAAAAAAATATATATATATATATATATATATATATATATATATACATTTATA